CCCCAAAACCCCAAAACCCCAAAACCCCAAAACCCCGAGGATTTTAGATTAGATTGAACTGAAAAAATTAACTATTCATCTTCTCCTTCTGAAATGATTCCTAAAAATGGAAGAAGCTTTTTCTTAGCCTCCTTGCCACGACGATGCTTCTTTAGTATTATCTTGTTCAGCATTTCATTGGTGTAGAGTTCGTAAGAGTTATACTTGGAAAGACCAAGGTCATCTCCTCCTGTGCGGGAGCCCAGTCCTGCCTCTTTGATGATAAAGGACCTTCAGATTGATACATTGAGGTAATCCATCCACTTTTTGGACCTCAAGCTGATTTTGTTGTCCTTTGAATCCAGGTTTGTCAACGAATCTGGCTGACTTATTGAGTTTATGTACTCATCGTTATATAGCAACAGGAATGAGATATCCGTGAACAATAATTGACTAAACAATGGCCTGAAGTACATGATTGCCTGAGGAGTCAAACTTGCTTTGTACACACGAGGATCGGTAGTGATTTTGGTTTTATTTATTCAGATTTTTCATTTCTAATTCCTCCATTGTCTTCTTATTTCCGCCTCTGGACTACTTCGGCCTGGAATTCTTCCTCAACTTCACTAGTGATCTCTTTATTGGGTGGAGGAGAGTCCATAACTATCTGATTTGGGCCTTCGAGTTCATCCTTGGATTTGGCAAATATATTTATGTCCTGAGTTGTCATTAAAAGGTTGGTCTGTTCTTGATATTTATCGTCAATGTCATCTAGGAAGATACTTAGGTCCTCATCGTCGCTATCATCAACAATCTCTTTTATCTTTTGGTTTGATTGTAAAAAGTCAAAAACAAACAAGGCAACTCTGAAAGAATCTTGAACTGCATCTTTGTGAAGAAGTGTTATGGACGAGGGCGTAGCACCAAACCCACTTTCTCCATCATCATTTTTATTGTTAAAAACTTGCTCTATTTTTGAAATTGGCACAGATTCATGCTCAATTTCAGTAAAATGATTTGGTCTATTCCTCTCGATTTCAGGCGAGAGCCCTTCATTGATATTTAGTTGTTCACCTATTTCATCCCTATAACTATCAACTTTTTTCTCACGCTTTCAGCTTATTTGAGGTGTCGATTTTTTCTTCTTCTTGTCTAAAATCTCAAAATCTCCTAAAATTCTTACGCGGACATTTTTATGCAATAATATACTAAATTTCTAAATTCAATTAAAATCTGCTTTTAAGGGGTTTTGGGGTTTTGGGGTTTTGGGGTTTTGGGG